AATCGCGACCGGCGCTGTCGGCAGCGTCGTCTACTGCGAGTGGTATTTGAGCGCAAAGGAGGGAGTCGAACTGGCGCGTTCGGCCGGTCGCGTCGCAAGCAGCGTGCCGCGGAACTGGACCGACGAAGCTCGCGAGGCCTACAGGGCGATGTGCCGGGCGCGCGAGGCCGTCCGCCGCGCCGAGCAGGGCGTCGAGGTCCGAGGGGAGAAGACCGTTGAGCACGCTTTGCGCCTCCTGCGGGAGGACCGCCCGGCTGCGACAGGTGGCACGACTGGGCGTCAAACGCGCCGGGACGTCTACTGCCTTGCATGCGAGCAGTGCAAACGGGTCTTCCTCGACGTGCACTCCAACGCCCGAGTTGCTGATCACGCTTGCGGACGCAATCAGCTCCACCGCGTGCCGATCCTTTTCTCCTCGTCCCTCGGTCTCTTGCTCGGGCTCAACCTCGGCAAGGTTGATGGTGAGGGACTGCCAGAATACCAACTCGTCACGGCGCGGTCGCTTCTGCCCGAGGAGCTCTCGTCTCGTCTGCCCTTCGACCCCTGCCTCGATCCGGTAATCGAGATTCCCACCGACTCCCGCCGCAGCCTCCTCGTCCCTCTCGCGCTCGACGCGCTGCTCATCGCCCACTACAGCCGGTTTGCCTTGACGCCGGGCGACCGCGTGTTGTCCAGTGCGTCATCTGCCTTTGACTCTTTGCTCTCTGGAATGACCGCTGACTCCCCAAGAACCCGACAGTTGGTCGCAACCGCAACGCTTGGCTGAGCATGACCGAGGTCACCCTCCGCCATCTCGTCCGCGGGCTCCTCGACGGAGACTCGATCGCGTACGATACCTGCCCCGCCTGCTCCGCCACGCGCGCTGTCCACGCGCGCTGCCCTCAGGAGCAGCACCCGTGCGGTCCGAGCAAGACCAGGATCCTATACGACGAGGTGAACCGGGCGTACGCCTCTTCGGGCGACTCAATCCTCGTTCTCGGAGCAGAGTCGTGCCGCCGCTTGATCTACGCCTTGACCGACTCGCGCGACAAGCTCATTGTCGAGTTTGCCACCGGCGAGGACTCGCACGGTAACACGGTCCAACACCCCGTCATCTGCGGATTCATAGAGGAGGCCGCCTACCTCTCGCCTCTCCAGCGCCGGCGCGAGCTCGCCGCCCGGATCTTTGGCTGGCGCAGCGCGTGACTCTCGGGTCCTCATCGACACTTTTCTTCTCTTCCTCTGCATGCATCGCCGCCTCCTGAGCATATCCCTCCCTTGAGCTTCCTTATCTGCTGTAGTCTGTTCTCTCTTTTCCCGGCATTCGATGTTCCCATCCATTTGGGAGCCAGTCAGTCGCCTATTGACCGCCGCAAGGGTCAGCGTCGCTCACGCATTCTCTCTCTTACCTGCTCACCTCCTCAACTTCCTTGCACGGCCCTGGGGCGGCTAGTAGAGTACACAGTACGCTGCAGGAGGACTGGGACGGCGGTCGGCACGCTCTGCTTGTCTCGGAAAGGCGCAGACAGCCAAGCGACATTTCACACTTCCTCCCCCACTCGCGCCGACTCACCGCGCCTCGAGCTGGTCTCGTCAACACTCTTCTCCACCTCTTGCCGACAGTACTCTCAATGGAGATGCTCGACGGGTCCGCCATCGATGCTATCCAGGTCGAAGTCGAACATATCCTTCAGCTGGCCGATCGCTACACGAATCCAGCTGGTAACCCGCCGCCCTTCGAGGAGCTCCCCTTTGCCATCAATGCTGTCAAGGCCCTCAGCAACAAGTAACTTGAGTTGGCCGGCTGCATACCGGAGGACCTCCTACATACTACTCTCCACCGCATCGGCACTCGCCTGGAGAACTTGCGCCACCTCGAAGCAGCGGGCGGACCGCCCGATGTTGACGTCCGTCCCGCTCTTGTTCGGACAGCACAGACGTATCGCTACGATATCGATCGGGAGACAATCATCGAGGAGTACCTCCATCAGGGTATGCGCAATCAAGACATTGCGCGGTGTCTCGGCGTCTAGTTACTTATTGCGCCTGAACTGATAGCTCTTTGCCTGTAGGTGTGATTGACGCTCGGCGTGCCGGCTTCGACAATACAGCCGATCCTCGCCAAGGGGAAGCCGGCAATGTGCCCGAAGGGCAACTACAGGACCCCGCAAATTGCGGTCGATGGTGGGGCGTAATAGCAGCATGATTGAGGACGGATTTCAAGTAGTGGTCGTGCCAGATCATCTCTGGCTCTCGGAGGCGCAGGTCCGCGACTTGGACCATCATCTTGACCGTCCGCAGCGTGTTGATTTTGTCTGGGCGGTAGAGGCCTACCGCTTTGTCCGCGAGGCTGTAGCTCTGATGATATAGTATGACCAGGCACAGTTCTGTCAGCACAGAAGAATCTGATGGTAAGCTTTCGCAGAAAATGGCCAGATGGCTTCGGAAGTTCGGCTGATGAGATGACCTGCAGCTGCTTTGTTGTCTCTATCATGTATCAATTCTTGAGCAGTATCAGTACAGACTCACAATCTCTGTTGCTTTATGTGAGCGTACATTGACTCCGATTCACTGCGCATCGGCCCCGAAGATGAGAATTTTGAGAAGGTCGCGGTCAGCAGCTTCGTATGGCCATCAAATTGCTAATTGTGACCCTTGCAGGGATACATAGAGCTCCGAAGATGTCCGCTATACAGTCAAAGGGCAAGTTATAGAGGCGAAAGGGGACAGGGTTCTCCCAAATATTTCCCGGAAGGGTCACGCACTTGTGGGGAACCTTGGTTGCAGTACTACCGCTCTACCATTTCACTGCGGCAACGATGTCAGCAAGGTCATCTACAAGGTTTGAACTATCACGTAGCTCGTTCAGCAGAAATGCCTCCGCTCCGAAGGCGCGGACAAAGTTCGGAGATTGCAGGCAAAGTTGCCGCGCCGCCGGCTCGTTGGGAGCTTGGGTCACGTGGATGGTCACGTAGTCCAGGAGATGGGAAGCGACAACGTATCGTTGATACTCCCGCATGGTGGTGGCAACTTGAGATCCACGAAACGGTCGCTCGAGGTCAGAGACCGGGTCACAGTTGTATCAAGCGCAAAGCAGCTGCCCAAGATGCTCGAGAATCCCAAAGGACTGCTGTATGGCGTCCTGCCGCTGCTTGCTGCTAATGCATGTACTTGTCTTTCAGCCTGGCTGTGGGCGAGATGACCATGAATGCCACGCGAAGCGCCTGCACTGCGTGTTCTGCCAACAACAATTTCCCAGCTTGACTGCGTCAGCCCGGCCGGCCGTTTGCTTTGCGTACCTGTGCTTGACTGATATGATGTTGGCTTGGCGCGCCAAGGTCGAAATTGTCTTTTGCTGGACTGCGGGGTGAGCGTGCTTGTACCAAAGGACAACATGCGCTGACCTTTTGAACATGTCGATACTGACAGAGAGAGTAGACCAACAGGCATAGTGGATCCGCTTGGTGTCCTGCGATGTTGTCTTGCCTTCTGGCTTGCCGTTCTGCTTGCACTGAACTTGCTGGGAGGGAAACCACATTGTCGACCCGCAGCGGAAACTGGAGACTGGCTCCTTGGTCAGAATGGTGCTTGACAGCGCGCACTTGGCCTGCAACGGCATTGGCAAGCAAGCGCTGAGAGGGTGACAGCTGGTTCTGACGGGCTTGGTCACGCATCTGACAGCTGGGATTTTTGGTAAAACCTTTGCTTACACGGGTGTGACACCTGGTGACAAGCGCTCACACGCGTCCACAAGTACTTCAAGTGGATGCAGAAAAAATTTAGGCACACTGCTGTACCAGTTGGGATCCATGACGGCACTGCACAGCCGTTGGAGACACGTTAAAGCCCAATCTGCAAGCCTCAAAGTGGTACCACTTTACGTCGCTCAAATTTGTCTCACTGTATGCTGTATTGTCAATTCTCCAGCCATATGCACGAGCTTATGCTTGTTGCATGCCTAGAATTCTATTGCCTGCCATAAGCTGGCTTGTGGCTAGACCACCATTGCTGGTCCACACTCCTTGCCTCGGGAGTGTAGAGATTTTGCCACAACCATTCCTGTACTTCTGCAGAGGGCACCACCTTGGGTTCAGAGACGGGCAGCTCTCCTTGGGATTGTATTGAGCGTTGATTGTAAAAGGTAACAGTGAAGAGAAGAAGAAAAGGAAGGAGTTCTACAGGAAGGCGCTGGCAAGGTTCTCCTTGAAAGGGTTGCGTCGCAATTTGTGAACCTTGTCCTCCGTTGACAACAACTCCTCCTTGCATTTGTTTTGGATTGAGTCAATTATGTAATGTCTATCAATCAAGAACAAGTTTGCAAAGGATTGACAACACAAGCGAGGGGAAGAGGAATTAGCAGCGGAAAGGAAACGAGTCCAGCCAGGGAACACCCAATCCTGATCTATTGGAGCGGGCCCAGCAACTCCCTGGTGCCTAGACTGCACTGTGCAGGGAGACCTGCACAGCCTGTATTGTGTGTCGGATCTGAGAACTTTGAGTTGCTGCGTGGCTCATGTCCCTGATAACAGCATTTGCTACTGGAGCTGATCAACCCTTGCACAGAGCTTATTTCCAACCTTACGTTGTACACTTTCTTCCGCCTCCCCTCAGTCATTGTTCTGAAAAGCCTAGCTTGTCTTGCTGGCTATGGTGGCTATGGAGCAGTGGAGACAGTCTGAAAGTGCATGCTTGAAGTATGGGCAGCAATACCTGGCTTGACATGTCCGCTTAGGCCATACAGCAGGCTGTGCATGCTAGTGGCACCCTGAATTGTCTTGATTATCCTTCCTGATGCTATTCTAGGCAATGCAATGGCTGAGGGGGACCAGATCGCTCCCGGGGCGCATATTGGTCTTGGCGTTCTGTTGATGTCTGTGCTGGTGCAACTTGCAAGAGGTTCCAGCTTCCAAACAGCAGTACAACATGCGCAGGAATCCAGAGAGGGGTAGTCTCGAGTGCCGCCTGCGGGCAAATGTGTTAGTATTACCCATTGGTGCTCTTTCTTGCCATCGAAAGAGCATATGTCCGAGTGGTTAAGGAGACAGACTAGAACTTGACTCTTGATCATCTGTTACGCTTTGCGTGCGCAGGTTCAAATCCTGCTGTGCTCGATTCTCTTTTGTAGGCTGGGCGGGGAGGTCCTTCTCTTTTGCCGGGGGGCCTCCTGCCTTTTCCCAGGCGCTGAGGCGGGCGGGTGCAAACTTGGCTATGGGCTGTTTGAACAGTCATTCCATGGAAGGTCAAGTCACCGATAGGCACTTGCCAAGGCAGCTGTTCCCAAACTGTGCTCGAACCAGGGCCAGACGCTCCCGGAGAAGTCTGTGCGCGCCAGCTCCAGGGCCTCAGGTTGCTTGCAGAGAAAGGAACAAATGACTCAAGCACACACAAGTACAGGACAGTTGTCTGGCTACTTCGAACTCCGGCTGCCAGGAAAGAGCTCACCAATGTGCTTCATAAAGATGTAGGACCCGGACCGCCCACCTCCTCTGCCTTTCTGTTGTCACTCTAGCTGTTTCAAGACCCACTGAAGGCACCAAGTGAGCAAAGAAGCAAGCGCCTTACGGTGGAAGAACCCAAGTGTCAATGCAGGAAGGCTGTTGCGCAGGCAGAAAAGATGTTTTCCTCGCCGGGCACCATGTCTGGCTGCTGGCGAGACCTGCCAATGACACATGCCTATACATGCGCCAAGAAGACACATGGACAGGCTGCTATGTACTGTGTCACCCTGGCAGACTGCAGCTGAGAAGGCTCAATGTGGCTTCTTAAGACGCAAGGGGGAGATCCTGACTTCTACTGCCGCGCTTTGAGCCAGTGTGTGCATCCAAGGTAAGCACTCCTGTAGAGATGTGGGCAAATGGGATACCCGGACTTCATTGTCTCAAGAGAGGAGACAGCAGCACCAACTGTAATTTGGGCGGAACACCTACAGTTGCGTGAATGCCCTCCATATCCATAGCAGCCACAGTGTCTCTCTGGAGCTTCCTACGCATCCTCTTTACACTGCATTTGCAGACTTGGTTGCAGACTTGGCTGAGATTGCATGTGATGGCCTCAGACCCTTCTTCTGTCACCTGTAAGCTGAGTGCCCCTTCTCTTATGCTTGGAAGGGACATGCTGATACATGCTCTGGCCTAGTGAGAGTAAATCAGGGGATAGGATCCCCTCTTGTGGTCAGCTGGTAAGCCCAGGAGCTGTACGCAAGGAAGCTGCAATGTATGCAAGGATGCTGTCACAGAAGGAAGACAAGTTGCCCGCACTTGACAGCTCTCACTTGCTATGCAGTCACCCTTCCTTGCATGTGCTGCCTTACCTGAGCCAGGTTGCAGCTCTATTGCTCTTTCCAGCGCGTCCTGCTTTGCTTGGCCTGCCTGCCTGCCTGCCGCCTGGCCCTCAGACTGCTCTGCATGTTGTACACTTGCAGATTTGGGCTCAGACTTATACACAGGGTGTACCTGACCCGCCGCTTTCTAATGCAACCACTTTTCCAGGGACACTTGATGTCCGTCGAGGCTTCCTTGCAAGACACACTCCTGTGAGCAAGATTGGGGAGTCTGTCCAATATTTGCTTCCTAATTCAGCCTGATGTGCAGCTCTCAGCTGTGTTCAGGACCCAGCCTCTTGCCTTTCTCTTCTCCTGCCTGCAAGACATTTCAGGCTACTGCAGAGAAGTATTTGATGTTGAGCCTCTTTGCCAGCTTCCTGCAGCCAGGTGCCAGAAGTGAGGTGACACTTACCTACCCAGGACTGACTGTCTGCAGTATACCTATGGGTTGGCTCAATAAGACTAGCTGGTCAAAGAGACTCACACTGTTAAGCCTTGCCTGAGCAGGCCCTCTGACTGTGGACCTTGGCTGCTGCAATTGGCAAAGATAACAAGGCGCAGGAGAAATGTGTCAAAGCTTGTCACTCAGCACTGCCATACCATCCTCCAGCTCTGGCTGAGGGAAATAGAGTTGGCTGCAACAATGATTGACATTGAGACGGAAGGCAGGGCCTAAGCCTTCCAGTAGGTCAAAACTGCTGCCACTGCCTTCCGTATATCCCCAGATAACACTCAGAAAAGCTGCATAGACCAGGAGGAGGCAAGCGCAGCCGAGGGCGAGCCGGAGGCGCAGCCAGATGTGGGGGTCAACTAGCTCGAAGGCGGTACACAACGGCAGCAGGCCGGATCAAAGCCAGTTGGGCACGGCTGGGACATGAGGGGAACGGCGGAAGAGAAGAGGGGAGCGGGAAGAAAGGGGTCGTAAGGAAAGAGGTGGCACTAAATGGAGCTTTCCCCCCGTCTCCTTGCTGCTGCCTTCACTCCCGCGCAGTTCTGACTTGCTCCAGGTTGCCAGGCCTGCAAATGCCCGCTGCAGCATCACTTGCTGCTCTCCCAAGGGGAGAAGCCTCCCTGCTGAATCTGAGCCTTCGCGGCACAACTGCATGCGCGACTCGCTTGTGCAACGACTCGCCGCCTTGCCGCCTCGCCGCGTGTGGACGTCATGCCGAACAGCCTTCACACTATCTTGAAGAACATGCACCCCGAGCTGTACAACATACTGGTCGGATCATTGGTTCCGATGGGAGCACACGGAATGTCGAACGGAGGCGGAGGCGCTGAGTCTACAATTGCCGAGACCGCGTTGGACCAGAAGCGCACGGTCAAGACGGCAGCGTAATACCACGGCACGGTCGGAACGGCAGCGGGCGCGTTGCGTGACGCGCCGATTGCTGATCCGACAGCATTCTCCGCGAGGCGGCACAAGGTCGACTTGACAGCGCTTGAGCTGCTGGACAACGTTTGGAAGGAAGAGCAGCCTGCTTTCACATGGCTGACTGGACGGACCGGCAACCTGGAACGTTGACCCGCAAGCGTCGACCAAGGACAAGGCGGCTGAGACCACCAAGGAGCAGATCGGTGTCAAGCAAAACCCGCAGCATGTCACGAGCACAAGGAGCCCAGGTCTACAAAGCGGGCAAAGACAACTAGCGGAGCTGTTCAGGTCGACGCGAGCCCATGCTGTCCCACACCCGGACGTGTCGGGTCAGATGTTCAAGCCGTTGCAGGCACACCCCCGGCCTCTCAAACTTGACAGAGGAAGGCATCCAGCCATTGTCCAGCTCCAGATAGTGCCCACAAGATATCATCTGTAAGCACTGCGAGTTCTTCAGATGATGAGTGGGTCTCAGATTCGGTAAGGGTTTGCTCGTTGAGGGCATCCCCCCCCCCCCCCCCC